GTCATGTTGTGCATTTTATTTGCCCTGTCCAGGCGCAAAATGTTCACTTTCTTTTTCTTTGATATTCACATCACTGGTGCCTTCAATTTTTACATTTTGCTTCCTATTAGTGTGTGGACTCTTCGAGGAGGCAGTTCAGTAAAGTACTTTTTTTTTTTTCTTTTTTTTTTTCTTTTTTTAAGCTTGGTTGTGGACTAGGCAGTTGGCAGGAACCCACTGAACTCTGTCCCTGTATTCAAAAAGAGGAGCACATGAGGATTGTGTCACTCTTTGCTGTTGTGATTGCTCAGAAAGAGGACTGGCATATCCAGCTGCAGGACAACATATTACCAATAGTGCTGGAAGATGATTAAAATGGTGTAGATGGATATAAAAACAATGAATTTGGAGGGATGAAATAGACCCTTGCATATTTTAAGCCATCTCTGGAGGGAAAATAAACTAAGTTTGTTATATTTGTCACACCGTGTTTTATCGTTGTTTTTGTTTTATCATAAAAACTGGTTAGAAAGTGTGTAAATAGTCATCTTCTCTGTTTTATTCTGCCACCCCACTCAGATCTGTCTCCCCAGCTGAAGCTTCTGTGTGGGGCAGATTTCCTAGACACCTTCAAGATCCCCGGCTTGTGGCGGGACGACCACGTCGAGGAGCTGGTCGGGCATTTTGGCCTCGTCTGCGTCAGTCGAGGGGAGCTGCAGCCCGAGCGGGCCGTGCACGAGTCGGACCTGCTGTCCTACCGCAGGCACAACATTTTCCACGTGAGGGAGTGGGTGAAGAACGAGACGAGCGCCACGGAGGTCCGCCGGGCACTGAGACGGGGTCTGAGTGTGAAGTACTTGCTTCCAGACTCTGTGATAGAATATATTCACCGGCACAACCTTTACACAGAAGACAGCGAGATGAGAAATAAGAGCGCGGTGCTGAGGCCGCTCGTTAAACAGGCACAAGAGCCGGTAAAGAGTCTAGACGACTGATGGAGCCCTCGAAGGGTGAATTCACTCACAGATGAGTGCTTGTCTTCAGGGAATGGAAGCTCTGTTGGCCTAAGTGTGTTTTCCAGGCATCACTTTAACTTTTTTTTCTTTTTTTTAGTAAGAAGCATCCAAACACAGACATGGTGTTTTCAGAAGTGATGCAAATACTGAGCCACATCTTCATCCTACATTTTTTCATAGAGATTTTTCACCATTCAGTGTTTTTACTCATTGGACTTGATGGCAGTTCTATTAATTCAAATAAATATTTTTTGTATTCCCTCATGACTATTTTATTTTTCTATGCTTTCGTCGGCCCAAGTCCCACAAACACACACGCGACAAAAAAAGGCTGTAAAATGACTGCTGGGGTTTTTATTTATTTAAAACATTTAAAAAGACTTTTATATTGAAGTCTTATTTCCCATCTATGTGCCAGATGTTTATATAGTTCACAAACATTTGTTGACATAGAGACAGATACACTCACTTTAACAAAGAAAGTCAAGACAATTCAATTATATGAAAAATTATTATTTTTTAAACGCAAGTTCAGACACAAAAGAAAAGAAATCATGAATAAAGTATGATGTGCATCACATATCACAAGAATACACTTTGATTCACGGCTGTTCAGCTGCTCATTAATGTAAATATCTTATTACACGACAGCTACATGATGCATTTAGGCATGTAGAATAAGACGTGTAAGAAGATCTTCATTGATCCCAGAGAGAAATTCGCATGTCTGCGTTGGCTCGTCTGCTATTTGTATGAGAATTGAAAAGCCTGTTGGCTGTGGGTGTGAATGACTTTATCTATTTTTTTTTTTTTTATAATTCAAGTATTTATTAGAATTTGCATTTTATAACAGCAAATACAGAGATGCAACAACCAAAAGCAAGAAGCAAACAAACAAAAACAAACAAACAAAATAAATAAATTAAATAAATAAATAAAATTTAAAA